TAATCACTAGCCACAAAACCAGACCAACGCTCCATCGGAGTCTTCCCCTCTATCGCAGTGCACGACAACCTATTAACGAGATGGCTCGCATAAACTAACACATCGGCCCAAAAGGATCTAGTCAATCCACTCTGTGTCATCATACATCGCACCGATTCAGCCTCTCAGCCACCCCATTCTGTTACGGTGTCTCTCTAACTGTGAAGTGTCTTCTAATGTCGTGATCCCGACAAAACTGCAGAAATGGATCACTCTTATACTCTTCACTGTTGTCTGAACGAAGGGTCTTCACCTTTCTACCTGTCTGCAGCTCCACTTTCTTTTTCTACTCCACAAATATATCTAGGACCTCATGTTTATGCTTCATGGTATATACTCAATTCCTCTTGGAATAGTCATCAATGAAAGTAACAAAATAATTTATCCCACCAAGCGATGTGTGCTTAGAAGGGCCCCAAACATCTGTGTGAATGTAATCCAATATACATTGGGTGTTGTGAATAGCGGTGCCGAACTTCACTTTAGTCTTCTTTCCAAGTATGCAATGCTCACACAGCTCCATCTTGCAGGTCTTTACACCTTTCAATAGCCCTTGTTTTGCCAATGACTGTAGGGACTTATCATCTGTGTGTCCAAGCCTCATGTGTCATAGTGTGATAGTGTCCCCCTCTGTGGTGATAGAAGCAGCCAGAGCTCCTGTAACTGTCTTACCTTTTAAGTAGTATAGGTTATTTTCCCTGACACCCCGCATCACCACCATGGACCCCTTCATGACCTTCAATGTGGCATCCTCTAAGATCACTCTATAACCAGCTGCCTCCAAAGTCCCAAGAGAAATGATGTTCTTCGTCAACCTAAGATCACTCTATAACCAGCTGCCTCCAAAGTCCCAAGAGAAATGATGTTCTTCGTCAACTGCGGCACGAACCTCACTTCTTTTAACAGCTGCCTCCAAAGTCCCAAGAGAAATGATGTTCTTCGTCAACTGCGGCACGAACCTCACTTCTTTTAACTCCTTAGTCACCCCGTCATGAATTCTGATCCGGACTGAGCCAATCCCACTAATAGGACAAACGTGATCGTTCCCTATGAGCACCACGTCCCCTCTCTCCAACTCAAAGTTGGTAAACCAATCCCTCTTAGGGCAAATGTGAAATATAGCTCCTAAATTAAGCATCCACTCCGTAGAGTCGACATAACAAACAGACGACAATGCGGGACAAGAATAACCGAAAGAATCTGAATCTGAAGTGTCGCCAACAACTTTAGCAACATTCACCTCTGAAGCTTGTACAGTTTTCCCCCTTTGCTTTCCAGTTCTATCCTTCAACTTTGGGCACTCATTTTTCCAATGTCCCTCTTCTTTGCAAAAGGCACATTGATTTCTACCAACACTTTTATGACCACCCCTATTATTTGATTTTGAGCGATTGAACCTTTGACGGTTTGGACTACGGCCACGAACTGCTAATGCATCACCCGATGCCTTCTCGGAGGGCTCACCATCATTCTTCCTCAGCTCATAATTTACCAACGCTAAGGTAACCTCCTTATAGCTAACTATAGTTCGTCCATTTATCATAGTGAGAACAAACGTACTAAACTCATCATCCGGCAACGAACACAATAGTAACATCGCATTGTCTTCATCCCACCATGATATCTACATTGGCCATATCTGAAATTAGTTTTGTGAAGTTGTTAACATGCTCCCGAATGGAAACTCCACTCTTCATCTTGAATTGGTAGAACCTCTTCTTCAAGTGAAACCAATTCTCAATGCTCTTCGTCAAATACTTTCATTGAGCGTTTCTCACAATCTCTTCGCCAACGTCTCGTTCATCACATCATAAATGAGATCCGACGTCAAGCATGACCGAATAACCCCACAAGCCCTACTGTGCATTTTCTTCCAAACCCTGTCATCAATGTCTTTAGGTTTCTCTTGTAGCTCAAGAGTCTTCTCCAAATTTTGTGCATCTAAGGCGTCCATTACTTAACACCTCCACAAACCTAAATTGATCTTGCCGTCAAACTTTGGAATATCAATTTTAGTGTTATTGATGCTCAAATTTTGGATCGCCTTTGTCAAAGCCGACCCCGATGTACTTGTAGCACTTGAACTTTGTATCACACATATTGTAGATCTACTCTCCAAACAAGAATCCAGCAGTGAATCCTTCGAACAAAACTCCCAAATCTAATCCGGAACTATGATACCACTTGTTGTGTGCCGCGAAAGCCGATTCGATAAGTCAATAGCACACACAAGAACCAATAATAGACCACAATAGTACAAGTAACACCAAATCACAGCAAGAACACAAGATTTACATGGTTCGGCAATGTGCCTACGTCCACGGGGCAAGGAGGGGGGAGTTTTACTAATATAAATCAAGGGGAATACAAATTAGGGTTACAAATCTTACCAAAACCCACAAATAAGCCCTCTTAATCTCTCCAAATGGTTCCAACAATAAAAGCCCCAAATCTCCTCTTTCTTCGGCTCAAAATCCTCTCCCATAAACCCTAAAAACGAGTTAAGGGTATATATACAACTCCCAAACGAAACGGGTCTGGAACTCAGAATCAGCCCAAACCTGCTTCCTACCGCCACGGTCGATCGCCTCAACTACAGAAACTTCTGCGGTCGACCGTCACAGGTGCAGACGCTTATCCAGCTCCGAACACGAATTCGGTCGACCGTCAAAACCCACGGCCGACCGTCAAACTGCCAGATCTACTCCTGAGCTCATTTCCTACCAATCCTACAACATTGATCGCAAATTACCTAAGAAAAGGCGTGAAGCTAACAAAAAATAGAACACACTTTCAATGATTCAAGCGCAACACGCCGCCATCTAGAAGGGAAAGTACTTGACGATAAGGATACTATTTGATGTATAATTCTATTACGCTCCATAATTTTTCTTCCGACGTTGATGGGTACCTCTCCTCTTTCTTTTCGCCCCCCGGGGGATCAAGCTCATCCAACAATATTAATCACAAATGTTTTACAATTAATTAAATATTTTTTCATGGTTCAAGAGGAGTTTAAAACCATACAGTTTTATGGTACCATGATACTTACGAAATTACTGACACATGTTAGGGACCCTACCTAGCAGTCTACAAGAATTGGGCCCACATGTTCTGAGCCCATGTTCCACATGATAGTGAAGACCAGTCAAATTCAAATAATTTACACACACTTGTAGATATAGAGTAGGTTTCGAAGTAAGACGAACAGCTTCTGCTTTAATTTCTGTGTTCGCAGCAGTGGGATGTCCTTTTTGTTTGTTCACCCTCAGATACGAGCAAATTATATAATGGTGACATGCATCCCAATTTACTATGTGTCTAATAGACGTGATCCTCATGAGAAATAGTAGTTCAAGGGGTCATGCAGCCATACCAATAATAGTGATACTAAACTAATCACTAATGATCATGATAATAATGATATAAATAAACAAATAGTAAATGAATAAATTACTACAATGTACAATTTAATTCCAATGCTCAAGTCAATAAATTAAAGTCATCAGCTAAGTAATTTGTATCAGAAATTCATACTACGTATTAGTCACCTTGTAGATGAAGACGTAAAATCGTGAACATCTTTGCTAAAGGGACTGCTAGACTCTGACCAGCATTTGAGGCTATTTAAGTCAACAACCCACGAAGCACATAGAAAAAGCTCAAGAAAACAGAGCTCAACGATTGATCCTAATTCGAACGAAGAGCAGTGTGCAGCGTTCGGCCCAGTTTTTCCTAGACTGAAAAAGGCCCTAAAACAGGTTATTATTTTGATCCACTCCCATCCTGGATTAAAACGAAAACCATTTTTCCTAAAACTAGGCCCAAATCAATTCTGAACCGAGGTTTGAGGAAAATGCCAAACTGACCCAAGTTTGATACGTACCAATATTCATCTCTATTTAGAGATCACCAATATGGATAAAGATGTAGTTCAATTAGAACAGCTCACATTCATCAAAATGGATACGCCTACAGATCACATGAGGAAAAAACATACTAAACGGTATGAAAAGGACAAATATACTAAAAACATATGAAAGGTGTAAAAGGGACAAATATACTAAAAACGATATTTAAAAAAAAGTGTTGCAAATTTAAGCAAAAAACTCTCTTTTACATCAGAGCTCATCTATATTGCAACATAAATAAAAACCTACAGTTAAATCCCCGAATCATGAAAATCAACTGTATCACGTAGTCAAGTAAAATAACCAGGATTCTTATATTGCAACATAAATAAAAACCTAGATAAATCCCCGAATCATGAAAATCAACTGTATCACGTAGTCAAGTAAAATAACCAGGATTACCTTATACCCGAGCCAAAAACTCACTCCACATGCAATTATACAGCAGGAAAATTTTTTAGAGCCAACTTTCATCTGGGTATTACAGACATCTTGATTTAAAACCATGTTCGACAAAAAAACGGAGTCTGTGTACACCAAGGGGGTGTTTGTTTGCATGCAAGTGAAAGATGAAAGTGAGAAAGTTACTTTCATTTAACAATTAAGAGGTGTTTGTTTGCATGCAAGTGAAAGATGAAAGTGAGAAAGTTACTTTCATTTAACAATTAAGATGTTTGTTTTCATGTAAGTGGTTATGAAAGAGTGAGAAAGTTACTTTCATTTAACAATTAAGATGTTTGTTTTCATGTAAGTGGTTATGAAAGTGAGATATAAGAAAGTTACCACATAAGATTTAATACAATTTTGACTTCCCCTAAAAAAGTGAAGTCACATGAAAGTGACAAAAATATAACTAATTTAATTAAATAATTTTAATTATATTTTCTAATTGACAAAAATATAACTAATTTAATTAAATAATTTTAATTATATTTTCTAATTAATCTTATTTTGCCACGTCATCTTCACATTGCACTTTCGATAATAATTTAATTTTTCAAACAAACACTGTATTTCACTTGTGCTGACATTGATGTAAAATTCATTTGCAAAAAAAATAACTTGCATATTTTAAATCCACTTTCAAATTGCCAAACACCCCCAAGTCTTTCTTCACTATTTACAGTACAACTATCCACATTGAGGAATTGCTCATGAAGTAGAGATCATCTTGAGCAGAAAAACAAAAACAAGTCCCCCAAGCACCATATAGGCATTCAAATTCACATATATATGGGAAGTTATTTTTCTAACACACTACTGCTGAAATTGAGAAGGATTCCAGAACTACATAAAACGCTACATTGATAATACAATGTGGGAAAAATAGAAAATCTATTCAAGGCTGGCATGTACGATAAACTTCAGCTCGCATGACATCAATAGGCATGTGATCAAGGGTGTACCTCTCAGGCCCTAGATAGACTCCTGTCTTCTCGAGGAGAGCAAGACCCTCCTCCCTGCTGAATCTTGATGAATAGAGTTTCAAGTACTCAATATCCTACAAAGAACATAAAGTGAAAAAAAATGGAATCATCAATGTACAAAATGGAAAAATTCTGGTGCATGTATCTTGTCCAACTGTGTAATGGTTTTAATGAATACTGACAGAACTATACTTATAGGTGCTGTTCGGCAACTCCTCCTTATCCAGGTTGGTGGATCCTTACCTGGTTAAGAACTTCAATAGTGTTTAGCAGAAACTGGCCAGAATTGACCCAATTACTTTTAGTTCATTTCCCCCCCTTGAACAGGGCTAGGATTTATCCACCCTCTCATGTGGACCAATCCTAACCCGGTTAAGCAGTTAAACCAGGTTAACGGGGAAAAGTCAAATACAGCCTAAGAGTATGATAGGAAATGAAGCATTGAGGCACTCGAAGTATATTCCACTAGATTTATTCAGATAGCCAAGACCTTTATCCTCTCTCTTCAAACAACAACAGAGAGCATATTCTCTATTTGCCTGGACCCATCCAACATACTATTTGTTGCTTGCTCGGTTGCCCCAGCATTCAGACCCTCCATTTCTGCAGTCTCCCTAGCCTTTCGATATCCTCAGCACAGTCCCATTGCATAATGTCCCATTGCTTGAATCCCCAATACTCAGTTGAGGATGATTGGTACCACTACCAGCACCCCAAATCAATTGAAAAGTTATAAATACCAGGGTTTCCATTGCTTGAAACCCCAAAAGACTGAGCTGAGGATGGTTGCTACCACCATGTAATAACTAGTTTTTGTTCTATGCATTATGGGCTTATATCTTTGCTCGTTATTAAGTAAAGGCCCATATCATGTTTTGGTTTAGGTTAATTGTTAGAATGCCCGGTTAGTAGGGACGCTAAACCGTATTCGTATAAGGGGAAATATCCGTAACCGTATCCGTTAGGAATACGGATATGGTTATTCAAATCTATAACCGATAGGATATGGTTACGGATATGGTTTTCTAGTGAAATATCCGTATTCGAGTCCGAAATATCTGAATACATATTAGTCATACTCTTACGATAGTTTCGATTTTTAGATTATGGATTTGTGATTAATTTTGATGATCAAGATGTTTAATCCTAACTTTTCAATTATAATGAACATATTAACGAACTCTTTTGTATCACATGAACTGTGTTTTTCTCCATACTATCTAGTTTTCTCATATCCGTTTTGTATCCGTATGCATATCCGCTCATATAACCGCATGTATATCTATAACCGTATCCGATTTTAGCAGTTATGGTTATAAATTTTCCTTACCGAGGTATATCCGTATCCGCATCCGTATCTGATATGGTTAAGCGGATATCGATATAGTAAGCATCATATCCGAACCGTATCCGAACCGAGTGCACCCCTACCAGTTAGTCACTGGGCCCATAGTCCTTAGGTTTGGATAGTAAACTAGTTTAACCTATAAGCCAATCTCTAGGAATATCTTAACCACTTCGCACCCTCATTTTTCTCTTCTGTGAAATTTTCTTACGAGGTGGAGAAACAACAGAACAGATTTGCAACTGACAACTTTATCAAATCCCTCAACTAATACAACATCTCTAGCTATCTAATCTTTTATTAAAAACCCTTATCTTCTTAAAAAGACTATCCATCTCCTCTGCCTTTCTTCACAGAAACACCCAAAGGGGTAAAAACAGAGAGACGCAAAAAAGAACCTTGGCAGAGTTAGTTGAGGGAACGGATAGAGTTTTAAATCTCAGAGTTCAAAATATCTTTGAATCAAGCATTTTCTATCCTTCCAACTTTTTTTTTCATGATCACCTTTTCCAATTACTAGAATTTCTTTCTGAAGTAATGATAAATAGCTTGTAGATGGCTTTAATCACATTTTGTTTGTCATAATACTGTAGGACATATCTTTCGCCTCTTTGTGCAAATATTTAGAGGCAAGCATTTACATCCTTTCTAATCTTCCATAATTACCCTATCTAAGTACTAGTTTTCTTGTAAGTTATGCTCCATGTTTAAATATACAAGCTACGACTTTTATTTGATCTAGGGCCTATTTTTTCCCCCTAACATCATAATAGACGTATAGCATAAAAATAAATAAATAAAACTTTTCCTAAGATATAGTTGTTGCTATGTTTCAAAAAATACAAAGTGTGGTTTAAATAATATTGTTTGAAATTAAACTTTTGTTCCATACATTTAAATATTTTCTTCTAAAAAAATAATATAAAACTTTTCCTAAGATATAGTTGTTGCTATATTTCAAAAAATACAAAGTGTGGTTTAATAATATTGTTTGAAATTAAACTTTTGTTCCATAGATCTAAATATTTTCTTTTAAAAGTATATTATTTTTTATTTATTGATTAGTTTCAGTAATGTTTGTAAAGAATAAGCCCTGAGGTGTATCATTATTATTTTTGGAAATCCTAGTCTTATATTACAAGAACTACATATATATGTAGACTTTTATAATATTATTTTTCTAAATGATTATTATCCTTTCAATCAAAAAGTAGTTTCTTTTATTTGAAATATAAAATTTTCCCTGTAGAAGATTTATTGGCTAAACTATCATAAATATCTTTTGGATAGTTGTCTAACTAAATTAGTTTTTACCAAAACCTTTACCATGTTCATGGTCATAGTACTATTATTTTGTTATTATTTTTGGCCATATAAGTTTTGTACAAGTAGAAATTTAATATTCAAAGTCTTTAGTAGAAGACTATCTATTCTTAATTTAAATTTTGGAGATTTTTAGAATAACTAGAAAATTTAGGTTACATACGTTTTCAGTGTTGCAATTTTTCAGAAGGAAAGAGGTGACATAGTGGTTAGGTGGCTTGTGCTTTGCACTTTGGCCTCAGGTTCGAATCCTGACGCTTCTTTTTTCAATTTTTTTAATACGGTCTGTTGTGAACAAACCCTACTCGTTTCAGATCCACCATCATCTAATCAGACCTGTTTGGGTCTAAAATTCATGGTATATGTCTTTAGCTTACAGAATTACTTTTGTTGAGTCATTTTATTATCAGCCACACCGAATTAACCCATTTGACATTGAACAATTGCTTTATTTATTTATTTATTATTTTTCTCAAGGGAGTTATATTGTATGATGTGATATGAAAAATCTCGTAGTGACATCCAATAGGACCGATTGTGCAAGAAGACGACTTCCGTCAAAATATGATTTATAAGCGTGTTATTCATAACATGGCTATCCCCTCAACATCGATATCCCGGTGTAAGGTTTTTCTTTGAATATTGATTATTATTATTATTATAGCATTAACTAGACGGTGCACCCCTCTTTGATTATACATGTTCTAGACCTCATATATTTTCAAAAGTCATTTCATAGTAACTATGTAGCTAGTGCATAACATTTCAAGCATGGTCACTTAAAATAAACAGATGAACACGGGATTTAATAAAGGGGAATTGCACGGAGAATATAAAGTGTATATAAGTGGTTCTATGCGTATACGTGATATCCTGTATATATGTATATATATTAGGGCCCTTGGCCAACACTTGACTTGAAGCCATGTTCTCAAGATGGTTTACGAGAAAACCAACTTATATATATTCAAATATTCTCCCCTAATTCAATTAACCTATAATAAAACATAAAGTGTTGGGTGAAATGTGGTAGTGTTTACTTGATATCAGTAGTTAGTATCTTTATTTTGGTCACCTTCAACTTAGTTTACTTTCTTTTTATATCTGTCACATGTACCTACACATGCACAAGTTCCTCATTTTGCATGCTTGCTAGGAGATTTCTGACTCCCTTGGGTTTGCGCACCCCAGATTCGTGGATCGTTCTTTCTTCGCAGAATCAAGACTATTTTGAGGGGCAGGCCCAGTGACAATGATCACCATTCTAACTTATACTTTCCTTCAGCTCATGTTGTTTTAGCTAGTTTATTTGTTCAGACTTTCCACTGAGCCATGTATGGCCTTTGTATTTCTTTCTCGTTTTCATTGTAGATATAGATGTAATAAACTCTGCTTCTCTAGAGATCTTTTAATTTATAACCATGTCTTCCTTTTGCTATCTTAATTACATGCTCTACAATGTAGTTTCTTGTTATAAATTTATGTATAGGATGATATAGAAACGTGAACGTGACCATAAGGTTGCATCGTCGACCGAGTCACGGATTTTCTTTATTGGTATCAAAGTCAGGTTTGGTAACTGGTGTCTCATCTTGTATACAAGTAAACCTAAGATTAGGCTAGAAACAAAGCATGGATTTAATTGATTTTTTCCTTTTTAGAAATACATCATTCGACTCCAAGACGTCGACCCACTACGCCAGTTAGGCTTAAGGAATAGCAAGTCGATCAGGCTGATCTTGCAAAGGTGATTTAGAGAATTAGTGGCTCAAAATCGCAAGAGAGATGAGCAACATCAAGCTGCAAGACAAGAAAATGTGTTTGATTTTTTAAAACTGAACCCGCAAAGTTTCCCTAGGATTGAAGGCGAATATGAATGAAATGTGGCTGCAAACCATGGATCATCTTTTGAGGGCAGCGAAAATACCAGATGATAATAGAGTCGACATTGTACAGCTACAGTTGATAAATGTAACTAGAACATGAAAGGATGCAGAAGTGAAACTTCCTAAGTCGATTTCATGGGAGACCTTTCGGCAGCGTTTCTTAGAGGCATTTTCCCCTAAGACAGCTCGGCTTGAGATGCACAAACAGTTTGTATATCTCAGGCAAATAGGCAACACCATAGATGAGTATGCCGCTGAATTTGCCAAGCTCAGCATGTTCGCGTTGGGCATGGTGTTTAATAAGGTGAATAAAGGACAAAGGTTCATGCAGCGTCAGAAGGGAGTCGAGACTTATGTTGATGTCATGGACGCGGCTCGCAAGGCAGAACAGTTGATCGGGATCATGAGGTCAGTAAGGGGGGAATCATAAGTGCCTTGCACGATAGACATCAGGGGGTAATCAGCACATGCCTCAGAAGGGAGGAGCACCAGCCAAACACTAGTAAACATGATCTTTGAC